TACTTCGTTTATGGATTTATACTTCGTTGGTGGAATGTGGCTACAGATAAATTTACGTCACCACGTCTGTATGGACCTCCCTGACAGCTGGAATATCGAAGTCGACAATAACTTGCAATAGGAGGAGCAGCCCTCTCGAACACATTAAAAATTTTATGTGTACTGGGTGGTTGCGGTCACGATTCTACATGGCGTCTGCATAGTGTCACTCGGCGTTACGTGCACACGCGTTACACGACCGTTCGAGAACGGAACGTTTTCCCGTAAATTAGTGTCGCGACGAAGGAGACGGACGGACTGCATTGAACGGTTTTGGAATTTTAATGAAATTTTTGGTAGTATCTCTGACAGACGCTTCTTTACATTTTCCTTAAAGAAAGTTGTTGAAGGTTGTTGCAGGTTCTACTACCTGAGTTACGATTTATTGTTCAGGGAAGGTAATCTATTTTCGGAAATTGACCAAAAATTCGAAACAAATATCTGTTCTAATGTAGACAGAATTCTAAAAAATATTAGATCGATGAAGTTTGAATTGGCTGAATTTTAAATTGCTTTGTAAAAAATTTTAAATCATTTATGTTAACATCGTAATTGCGAAAATAAAATAATTTACAAACATATTTCTTTTATGGATTATCGAACCAACTTTCTATTCGAGAATCATGCAGTAGCAGATCTATAACTGCGCTACAAAACAAACTACTGCTGTAATAAAACTTGAACTACCGCTATAATAAAACTCAAACCGGGTGCCATATAAGATATTGCTATAAATATTAATATATTATTACTTATTATCATTTATTATTTCCAGATTTCCAAAAACTCGCTACTGTCTAAAATTGTATACGATCGACCACTTTCTCCATTCCGTCTCTCAATAAAATGTACAGTTCTAGATATTTATGTCACAAAGGGTTTTATGCTGCAAAATCAAAGAAACAATATCGTCCAATATCCTTCGTCGGGTTGTAACATGTTATAAAAACGTTGGGCACGCCGTGTAAATGTATCGGCACACTTATTTCTTGAAAATCCAGGGGTTACTTGTTACCTGTTGAAAGCTGTTTTACAAAGTAATGTCATAACTAGAAAGTGTCGCATTGTAAAGTCATTCAATAATCACAAATCCTTCAAAACTTTAACATAGCATCCGCTTCTTTCTTTTCGTAGTGCAACTGTGCGTCGTATAAATAGTCCTTCATATTTCAGCAATAAAATGTTGAACAATGCGTCGGACTGCTGTACAGTAAAGCGTTAAATCAAGCGACAAAAAACAGCCTTCAAGTTTACAGCCCCTTTGAAATCTGTTTTAAGGCGCGTGGGCAGAATTTCGCCTTTTGTTCATCGCGTGCCTATTTCTATTGCAGTCAAACTTGTCAGCAAAACTTGTACTTATTCGCAAACAATTGTCATAATTTCAATAAATGCGAATCGTATGTTCAATCCGTTCGCTGCCATAAAAATTGCTTTGCTCGTATTCTATGAAACGCGAAAATATCCATAAAATAACACAAATCTTGCAAAATGAACAAATTGTTCTTTTCAGGATTAATAATAGAGCTCGATGCACACTGAATCAAATTTTTTTACTGAATTAAAGAACGCAGTTGTATGTCGCTCTGTCAGAATTTATTGTTCAATTACGTAAATGTAAAACTTCGAAGTCTTACTAGACAGGTATATTTTTTACTTTTACAAAAGAAGAAAGCGCGACTAAACAGTATATATTCCCAAGAACAGTTGCTTTGAAAAAGAACAAGCGTACCAAAGAGATTCATCAACAATTCACGTTCTTATCCCAAAATAGTTCACGCCTGAGGCGTGATCTATCTTTTCTACCGAAAAAAAAACTGGAAGTTACTTGACCGCTTCCGTTCGTTCGTTCTACGAATTCCTGCAAACAATTGAAGAGTGATGGCAGAGTGAAAAATAAAAACCGTTTCAAATTCGTAATGAAAGCGACGGTCAACCATCGATAAGCGGCTTCCACACTTTTGACACGGTATTTATCTAAGAAGGGCAATTTTTTATATTCCTCCACCTACTGTTCTGATTATTACGTGTAAAATGCAGTATAATACAAAGTCGCTACACAAAGGACACGAACCGACCGTAATGTCTCCGCATTTTTTTTCGAAAACATTTTTATTTATTGTTAGTATAATTTATTCCAATTGAACAGTTCAATAATTTGCCGGTGTAAATTACTTATTTACATTATGTAAGTAATCAAGAGACACAGTAGTGTCTCGCGTTAAGTTCACGCGTAGCGCAAGACCGATATAACTGACACCGAATTTTCCAAACCGATCTCTGATACGAAGATATTTGAATGCTTATAATTATTATTTTAATCTTTAAACATGCAGTGAACCATTTTAGAGTCTTAAAATGTCTAGAACAGAATACGCTTCTTGTCCAAACTTTGAATTAATTTCATAATTAATGTCAGTAAATGATTTAAGAATTAATTTATATTTTATTTGAAATATCCATATAAGAATATTCGACATTTCGTATTACTTTCGCACAGTGCGCGTAGGTTTTAATTTATCCTACAATTTTTTTTTTTTTTTTTTGAAACATTGTATCGTAGCTAAGAACTTTTCTTGCGATTCTCTCTCAACAGATGATGAGTACAATAATAATATCCTTAACGTTAAATGTGTTACAAGTGAATACGTGACTACAAGTTAAAACATAAAAGCGTCAAAAGCGCATAGTTTGCGAAGATCGCGCACGATGTCGACGAGATTCGTTTTATCGAAATACAAGAGTAGTCTTTCGCGACGCAGAAGAGCGACGGAAGCGAGGAAAGGAGACGCGGAATGAAGGAAGGATAGACAAGGACGCTGCCGCCTCTGATCTCGGCGATTCCATCATCAGCGACTCGGAGCCCGGAATAGCAGATAAAAGGCAATTGAATTTAAATCATGAATACGAACGAAGTGAGCGAGGAAGAGGACGCGCGAGAGGAATGGAGAAAGCGATGAAGACAGAGAGGCGGGGAGAGAGAGAGAGAGAGAGAGAAAGAGCGAAAACGACAGATACGCGAAGAGAGGCAGCCCGAGCCCCGACGGCAATCTGGTGGTAGCTTTGTGACGGTAATGGCTTCAACCCCTGGCCTCCGACCCCCGGGGCCTGCACCCCTTCTCGTTTACCGGTGAACACGCGGAGACACAAACACCGACGGGTTACACGTGTGTACAGGACTGCACACGCGGAGCCGCAACGTCAAATCTCTGTGACTCAGCGCAAATACGTACGTAGTAATGCGACAGTAAATTGGCATGCTCCAGCACGGTCGGCTGAAAATATTCCATTAATTACAGGTACAAAAGTGCGTTACGAAAATATCGTTTGCGGATTAAGCGACGCATTTTACGCTGATGACGATGCGCACAGCTTTATCGGGAGCAAATTAATTCGCGTCGTTCGGTTTTTCCGCGTGCAATAACGTGTTATAAGGAAGCGACGTTATTAATTTTTGATATACGCGACTCTTGAAGAACACGAAGGTGGAAAAACAAATATGGAGTGAGCAAACCGCGCTATATTTTTCCTATTTGCTGTATTATATGTGCGTCTGCAAGTTTCTTAACGAAAATTCGGTAGGATGGATTAATAAGTGGCTTTTCGAAGCTGAAATCAAATTGAATGTAGTTGGATATCGTGATAACCGAAGTTATTAAAATGATAAAGTTTTGTAAAATTATTATACTCAATAAAATCAACAATTTATTCCAAGTCAATGAAATAAAATTAAGTTTTTTTATTTTGAAAAGTAAAAAAAACTTTGAATTTTGTTATATCAAACAATCGATACAGTTTGTTACTTAGTTAATATATCAATACATTTCCAAATTTAATTATTTTAATTTTAATTTTATATTTTAATGAAGTATTCGTGTCGACCACAATTTGACATTCGCTACTATAATAAAATGTGTCAAGCATAGCTCGACTTTCGAGTTATGAGTTTAGAATAATGTGAAAAATTTGGCTATAAATGCTATACAAAGTTCGCAAAAGTTTTGCAAGCTGCTGTAATAATGCTATTTAAGGTAAATTTTTCGCGATTTGGTTTTCAACCGGCATCGATATCGGCATTATTGTCAAATATCGCCAATAATTATCAAAATAAATACGAATCGAAGCATCGATTATACGTGTCGAAAAAATATTAAGCAAGCGTAGCTATAATTACCGGATAATAAATAGTTCGACAGAAACTGCAGCAGAACGAAAGTCCCGAGCGCGCTTCCTGGAGAATCTCCCTGATCGATCCTCCAACCCCCGTTTAGACACTCGTGGAAGCCCGGAACGTCGACATCACGACGCCTGCTCACGAGCTCCACCCACGCGTCGCAACCGTCGTACATGCGCAACCCAGACGGTTCGCGAGATGACATGTTCGCCAAACATCATAAAATGGCCAGACCGTAATCAACCCGGCTGTAATTAGTAAACGCATACGCCCGTCCGCGAGAATGTATATGAATTTACGTGTGGGCTCACTGATGAATCCTGTCAAGCTGCAACTGTCCACTGACTGCGCTGTCTCTCGTAACACGATTGCTAACATACGCGCACATTTCAGTCACATATACGCAAAGTTGCACGAATATAAAGTGGATAAGAGCAAAAATACTATCGATCACATCGACGTATTATTTTTGTGCTTGCAAATAATGAGAGAATGCACTATAATATACGAGAATTGTTGAAATGTATATATATATGATATATATTTTTATGTTATGTCAAAAATTTTTTCTTAAAATAAGCAATTTTGCACTTTGAATCAAAGAAATAGTTGCAGAAATTATTTCCGTCAACCATCTAATCGTTATAAGAAAGATAAAAATACATATAAATATTAGAAAACTTCATTGATTAATTTCAAAATTTTGTGTTACCGGAAATTTAAGGTGAGGTATATGTTTGTATTAAATATTGTGCGAAAATTTGTATTTATATATACGTGCTAGACATACCTTTTCTTTCTTTTTATTTATGACGCATTTATTCCTCAAATGTTCGATAATCCAGTTTGCAATCTTGACCGAAAAGCAATATGACACAAATGAAGGAATCGTTGTCGAACAGATTATCTGAAATTCGCACGTTAAACGTATTAATAAATTAAATAAATTACATAGCACATTTGAATTATAATTACTTACATATTTCTCGGGAGAATTTTGATGTTTCCTTTCTCTCCTGTTGACAAAGTACGAAGATGTTCTGACATGAAAACTATAAGAACAACACTAATACTGAATGAAAAACTTGTACTGTATGAATTTGTAAGATATGGTGTAAGTAGCGACATCTGATGAAGAATTAAAATATCCACTGCACGTTCACCACGCAGCACGGACATTCACCAAATTGTTTACCAGCGGAGAACTGTAATCTGTAATGGACATGTAGTTCGCAGTGTTGAATACAGATAGCAATACTAGACATTTCTAAATGTAATTCTGCGAAATATAAACACATCGTAATATTGAAAAAAATAAATATTTAAATACTGCTGATCTGAAATGCATAAACTTTTTATCAAAATTTTAGAAAAAACCTTAACTAATCGTAATTAGTTACTAAATACAATTCCATAATAAATAAAATCACGATATATAAAAAAGATGCAATAGAAAACGAGAAAATGATAAAGAAATCATTTTTAAATAAATTTAAAGTTGTTCAGTTTTAAAAATTAACAATCAACATAACTTCATCCATAAATAATATCCAACTTTACAAGCTATTTTTATAAGGCGTCGCGAAATGAAACAACAATATATATTGCGAGTTTATTAATTATTAATAGTATTATATTTAATATTTATAATATATATATATGTGTGTATGTGTGTGTGTGTGCGTGTGTACATATATGTATATATACATGCATGTCCGATATGTACATTTCCAGATGCACGCATAGCAATACACATCACGCAAAACACGCGCAATTCATACAAATTCATCGGATATACATGTATATATACAAGACACCCTGTACGTTACGATACAACCGCAATATGGTTTTTAAATAAGATACATGCAAAGAATGTATATTAGCTCAAACGAGATAAGCCGTACTATGGATAAAGATCGATTCGTCGGAATCTTTATTACATTTTTATTTTTCTTATTAAATAATCTTCCTCCGTGTCGTCCCGGCACATCGCCGGTTGTACCGTTTTTTTTTTCTTTTTTCTTTTCTTTTTTTTCACAGAATATCCTGCAGAACGAATATGCATATATGTATACGCGTATGCGGCTGTGTGTATGTGTGTACGCGCAGTCGAATTAGCCCTTTCGAGGTACTTCGACCTTTCATAATTTATATGAAAAGCGTGATAACATATGTATACTGCATTGTACGGAACATCTATTTTTTTTTTTTTCGTCTGCAATACGAACTCTATAAGATGTCGATCTAACATTGGCGGGTAACATTCCTTCGCGAGGAAATGAAATCGGATTAAAATTCGGCATAGAGGAGACGAGCAACAATATATAATATCTCATTGATCGGTTTCGCTCTGCGGAATTTCATCCAATTCGCAATATCATTATGAATGACGACTCTGTCGCGTTTCTCTTTCAGTACGTATGTTTCTGGTAGTGTACTGTTACACACCACCGTATTCCATGCAATAATTCCTAAAACTTACGATATTTTTTAGTTCCATTGAAATGTTTTTTTTCTTTTTTCTTTTTCAACTAGTACTGATATCAACGGGTTAGTCGCAACGTCTAAAAGCAGGATTGGCGTTGTGAAAATTTCTTATCCTTCGCAAAAAGACCAACGAGTCCCGTCGGTATGCATTCCTGCGTTAACAATAGGCTTGGAACGATTTTTTTTTTTTTTCGAGTTATAAAAATTGCAAATCCATAATTTCACGATGACTTATATCTAGAGACTTCGCACATTCCGTTATTTAGATCTCATTAAATGTTCAAAGATTTCTAATAAAGATAAAACGATTAAAATAGTTGATTTTATATCACACAAAGGCGCAAAAATTCATATACGATGACTACTTTTTAAATTAAAAACAATTCATAAATTCGGATTCGACAATTTGACTATTATAGAATGTTAGAATACAAATAAGCATGAACGTGTAGATATAATAACATGCTATTCTCTGTACAAACAATGATATGCAGATCTCCATGAATCAAGTTCGATAGAATTTTCAATGCGCAAATAAAAGATATATCGTTAAAATTTGTACACAAGCTGAAAAATTATAGAATTTATGTTTACGAGCTGTGCTCCAAAACAATTGATATAAATAAATTTTGTCGTCATACATTATTAGGAAATGATTATAAATACAAGTTAAACTCGATGTATATATCTCGCAAAAACAAAACAAAGAAACCAAAAAAAAAAAAAACCGACTTATACATATTTGGCTTGTCAGCATCTGAAAATATAATACAAAACGAAATAAATTTTGATAGAGATAACACGCAAATCTACTAACAAATTAAAATTTAAAAAATTTATACATTTTTACAAGCGGCTCTCGCTTAACTAGGCAATATATCTAATATCAAGGAATTTCTTCTACTGATCAATTGTACAAATATATTAACTGAATAAAAAATAACATTTTTCGCAATTCGTATTCTTCCCCCCGCTAAATCTCACCCGGCTGTTCATAACGTTATAAACAGCATACGTATATGGACAGATTGAGGACTCACTTCGGATTCAACGACAAAAGTTATATATCTCGCCTATTAAAAAATTTCATATCATTCCGATAAAATACGATATTAATGCAGTACAACCAGAACTATAGGTACCAACGACGCTTGTTTTTCAAACGATTTAAAATAGGCTGCCAATCCGCTGCGCTAGAAAGATTGACGAACAGTGTAAAGCTGTTAGGCTGCAGAAAAGAAATGAATTATATATACAGGTCCTACTCGGCGCCTTGTTCGTTAGACCAGCCGAGCCAATGTCAGAACGATCGATTATACCCTGCCTACTCGTTGCTATCATGGGGAACACAAGAGGCGTCAGCCAAACAAACCGCCCGTCACGTTTGTGCACGGACTCTCGCACACGCACACGAGAAGGCGGCGCAAAATACGCGCGTTTCGCAAACAACGTATTTTAGTTCTGTTTGACTTTCGTGAAGTCAATCTCGACGTAGGTAAAATTCTCCTGCGTGGACGCCGGCGACACGGGCGCCTGATTGCCGATCTCCGGCAGATCGAGACTAGCGTAATGCAGATTTGTCGCGCCCGGTTGCAACTTTTCGTAGCCTTCGTCCAATGGATTCGGCACGGGCGTCGGCGTAGGCGAGGGCGAAGGCGTTTCATCGATGAACTTCGGCGAGGATGGCTTCGACTGTTGCGCGGCTGTCGACGACGTCTTGAAACCCGTCAAGGTGGGGCTGGTGTTCGGCGAGACGTAACGCGGTTTCGACACCGTTAGATCCGACAGTTTTTTCATTATTACATTAGCGGACCGGTTCTGTTGTTGTTGCGACGAAGGTTTCGACATAACCAGAACAACGTTCTTTGCAGTAGGACCGGATGGTTTCTCGTCATTCATTTTCGACGAGAGCTTCGTCTCCGTCAATGGGGTAGAACACGACGCGCAGATCATCTTCGCGGGTTCCATCACCGCGTAGTCATTGTCCGTGTCTTGTTTAGAAACGTCCGTCGTGGAAAACTCGTCGCTTTTCTTCGCGAAAGGCTTCACCGGTGACTGAGGACTGTTGAGGAAGAAGGGAAAGATCGTGGTCGACGAGCCCGTGGGCGTCGCTCGCGGCGGAGAGGCGGGTGTGCTCGCCAGACTCTCCGATGTCGGGCTGCCGTTCAAAGGCAGAAAGCTCGGCGTTTTAGTCGGCTTGCTGCCCGCCTGAATTGCGATCGGTTGCGATCGCGACTTCTCCTTACGACCGCTCGTCCGTGTCTTGCGATTGTTCCGATTATTCGCGCCCATGCTCATGTTTATATAGTCCAGGCTTGGCCGCGCTTTAAAAGACATCTCGACGTATCCTTCGGGAGGACGCCTCGGTTGTGGAAGATCTACCGGTGCCGTTCTTGTGCTACCTGAACATTCATACGTAATTTCCATCGTTACTCTTGTTTATTGTAAATATTGTAATAGTCTACGATAGATTTTACATTACATCGTCGACAAGCTTACCTGGCGGCCCATTTGTTTGATAGGTGTCCTCTTGCAAAAGTGACAACACTTGCTTCGGACTCGCTTCCGACTGCGCCCAATCCTCCGTAGCGCCGTCCATCTTCATGTAGGGTCCCTCCGCCTCCTCTACCGGCTTTAAAGTCGTGATTACAGGTTTATGGGCGAAAGCTAACGATGATATATGCATGTGGCTATGATTGTGGTTGGCAGTGATTGTATTATTATTGTTATTGCGATTAATCTGTAAGAAGAACATTTTATGTTACTTATGTTACAGCGACGTGATTATTTCATCCGCAACCGATAAGTAGTACCTTATTTATGCCACTCATATCGACATATGGGGCAGTGGTCGATACGGGGGCCTGTCCGGGCGACATGTCGACGTAGGAACTAGTGTCGATGGCAGTAGAGTACGATTGCGACTGCGTCTGAGTTTGAGAAAAGGACGACGGAGGAGAGGAGAGGGTGGTCGGAATACTGGGCCTCGTGAAATCCAATTCCATGAGATCCTCCATGCGATCGGACGCGCCGGAGCAGCCCGAGTTGTGTCCCCAGGAACTCGACAGCAACGGCGCGGAGCTCGACTTGGAATTCGAGCTGTCTGAGCCGCCTGACAGCGGCGCGGTGACTACATTCGCTAGCCTCCCGATTTCAGGCCTCTTCGAACGACTGCCTACGGAAAACGCTCGTACTCTATTGGCATCTTGCGGAGTGATGTCCAACCTGGATAACAAGTAACGTAAGGTTAAATTTCGTCGATATTATTATTCACGAATAATGACTTTAAATGATATCGGGAGCTCGTTTAAGGCGTTTTTGCATTCAATAAACATTCAATATGTCTTCTTAAATCACGATTCACGACATGCAGCTCCAGCATTTTTTTCAAGTAAACTAAACGCCTTGCTCGACACGTTAATACCGAAATGGAAATTCGTACCTATTTTTACGATGCCTGTTCGCCTGTTCCGGTCTGGATCCGACAGAGTAGGCTCTGGTTGGTCTCGCTTGCAGATCCTCCCCGGGTGTCAAGAAGCTGATCACCTTGTCCAAGTGATACTCGGAAAAGCGCAGATCCGTGCTGGGTGTACCGGACGTGACGGAACAACTACTGCCGTCGTTTTGCGACAGGTCGTCCGGGAAGTGGCCGTTGTGATTATTTACAGGATCCATGTCGACGTAACCGTCGTCTCCGACCGGCGCCATCGGCACGTAGCCGTCGACGTTGCTCTCCTCCACGAGGGACGATCCGCGGGAGTGCGAGTGAACCGTCGTTGCCGGACTCATGGGCATGTACACGCCACCACGACCCGGGCTCGAGCCACAAGGACTGTACATTTCACTCTGGTAGGAACTCTGCGAGTGAAACGGACAGATTGTCAGTACTTATCGTATGTATCTAGAGACACGAGGTGTTTCACTTGCGGAGAATGTGGACGATAAAAGATATATTATGTTACGCTTGTGTAGTTTACTAATAGCACACTTCTATTAAAAGATTAAGGAACAATTACGAGTGCACTCACCTGAGAGGGTGAATGAGATTTAAGGTTTGGCGAGTATTTGAAATGCGGATGCGACGTCGACCAAAGGGCGCAGTCGTCACCCTTCTTATCCAAGATCACGGGCTCGTCGGGGGTGAGGGAGTGCCCGTATCTCGAGACAGGGCCCTCTTCCATGATATTTTCCCCGCAATCGTCCATCGAGGGCGACGATCCGGCCGAGTCCGACGAGCAGACGTCGGAGGCGGGGCTGATGGGCATCGACGCGATCGGCGGAGAGTACGAAGGGCCTCGTCCGTACATGGAATTCGGTCGCGGTATATGAGACATGTGCGTTCCTCTGAGATGGCCCGGCACAACCGTGGTCGGTTGTCCCTCGCTGGTGGTGCGCGCCCTCGACGGCAAACTGTCGCACCGGTCGCGCACAGTAGTACCTGCAAACACACTCGTCAGAAATCTCGTCGCGGTATTCCGTTTGCGTACAGTAGAAAGAAGCCAGTTTCATCGTCCCAACATAGCAGCGGTTAGTTTTATGTTGCATATATAAATTATTATATGATACATATATACACACATATATATATATATATATCTCGAGGAACTGTTTGCTATGTTAAATATATATACATATTCTCTCAAGTCAAGCAGTAAACAGTTAACCTTGTTAAGATATTCTGCGTTCGCAGAACCCGGTGGTTAATGTGAAACATAAATGAAGCAACGATGGATTATCATTATTACCGCACAGCGGTACCAAGTAGAGATTATAATTCAATAATATCCAACAACAAATGCATCCGTTCTTCGTATCCCACAACCAACAAGTAGGAGATATCGAAACATTTGTCTCATGATACATCGTGCATTTAGTGGCATGCCAACTTTACAGTCGCAATTGTATTGCGATCTTGGGTTAAATAAACGTAACATTGATCGATGAGTCTTCACTCTGAATGTTATAGGAAGGGAGAGAATGAGAGCGAAAAACGGAAAGAGCATAACAAGCAAACTGCAGAGAGAGAGAGAGAGAGAGAGAGAGAGAGAGAGAGAGAAGAGAAGAGAGAGAGAGAGAGAGAGAAGAAGAAGAGAGAGAGAGAGAGAGAGAGAGAGAGAGAGAGAGAGAGAAGAAAAGAGAGAGAGAAAGAGAGAGAGAGAAAGAGAGAGACATCGAGGGATAAAAACAGAGATTCAGATCGATTAAACAAATATGATACGAAACGAAATACATACACCGTAAAACGGATCTTTTAGATGGTTGCGTTTGATTGATAATAACGGCGGCTAAGGGCAGCGACAAGGTTCTCTGATGGGATATTGTCGCGGTAGTGGTAGTAGTCGTCGCGGTAGTCGTCGCGGTGACGATCGCGGTAATGGTGGTGGTGATGGTAGTGGTGGTTGCGGTGATGGTGGTGGTAGTGACAGTAGTAGTGGCGGTCATAGTCGCATTTGTTGCTGTTGTGACATGAGCGGATTGGGAATTATTGACGGAATGAGGATGACTCGCTACCGAATGACGGCGTCTAGCGGTACCGGCGGCACTGTTGGCATTAGTCGTGGCAATTCCAGTAGTCCAAGCCCCGGTACCAGCAGCGGCTGCAAACCACACACCTCTCACTATCGCACAACTCTTTACTCCCCGCGTGCCGGGCTCAATAGACACGCAGTATGAATCGTATATATCTCTGATCGTGCTGTTAAACGCATTGACGATTTCGAACATGTCTCTCTTATGGATTTCGACAATGAGCTGCTGAGAAGTCTGACTGATATGATAGTCACTTTGAAGCGGCGCCTTCGAATTCCACACATTCCTTCGATATCGATAATTTACGTGATAGGGAAAGTCGCGATAAAAACTTGACACCAAAATGACGGTGAAGTGACTTGGAGAAATCTCGCTTAGTTTTTATATCCCGCTTCAACAAGATGCTATATACATTATATATACCTGGCATACATTAAATAGCTTACGAACTTTAATTTTAGATAACTTTGCAACAGTATTAGTCATGCTATTTACACCATGAAGCTAACACTCAGAAAACGCATAATTACTGCCGATATCGGCTTAAGATTCTTGTCTTTAATACAATTGGTCATTGCATTTGTGCGAGTCTTCATTTAAGCTTTAATCTCTCGCGCATTTGTTTATCGTAATAACATATGACATATACCAATATAATACAATTATATGTCATATTTATTTATTATAATTTGCCTTTTTGTTTTCTAAACTTTACATCAATATTAACTGTAATAATCTTTCTGCTATTAAGGAAGCACTTCTCATTTTCAATTTCCTTTAGTGATCTCACAAAAAAAAAAGGGTAAAGAGATCGTGATATATGACACTGCAATTTCTTCATCTCTAGCTCTTCTTGTAATAGTTGTAAAACGCAACTGATATCAATTATATAAATAGCACAGTGTTATCACATTGCATACACAAAATACAAGTGTAAAATCCACAAGTGCATTTATCTGTAAGAAAAAAATGCAATGACCAAGTCTTCAAATAAAGTTCTATATCCTGAAATTAAAAAAAAAAAAAAAATCGAAGAAAGATAAACGACATTTGCACTGTTCTCGTTGTGTCTTTCTTGCCATTCGAAATTCATAAAACGCGAAAGAAGGAAAGCAGATAGCTACTATGACAGAGAACAGACCCGTGACTGTATTTGTGGAGGAGATACTCCGAGACTGACTACACTGTGTGGGAGTAGAGGAAGTAGCAGTCTGTTCTTGCAACGGTTCCGCTTGCTCCTTGTGTGCCCTCTGTTCCTCTGTAAACCCCGTAAACCCATTTGTGTTATTCTAAAGCTGAGCTGTCACGTGTTTCATATGACAATTCACCTAGCTAGCTTAAAACATAGAACTTGGTGTGTGCGTGCATGTATATGTGCTTGTGCAATCGCAGTTTGATGTAAAGAAAATGGTGTTTTTAGGCAATGTTTCGATTCAAAAGGAACTCATAAAGGATAACTTCAAAAATATGCAAAATGATGTTTGTCTGTGTAAAACAAAGCGTAATATCTTTTCCTTTGGAAGTTTGATTACTGATGACAGATATGACTCGATTTGCACACGTGGGAAATCACAATTTTGATAAGTTTGTACAATAAATATATAGCACATCGTCGTTAATTCGCAAGTATATACAAGGAATTGGTTTGCAAAAGTTACAACTTACCCAAAGGCGGAAAGCCTTGAAGCTTTTGACTCGTGTAACGCCGTTGAAGAACGGATATAGGTTTGCTGGCTTCATTGGCGGAGGAACTACGTGTTCTCGGACGGGGTCCTACCTCGTCTTTGCTACTTTTCGAATTCCTCATTGCAGTCGTTATCACATCGTACATGTTGAGCGCGATATTATTGTCCTCGACTGCCATCCAAAACTCACCGTCCCCGGTTACGGCGGATCGGCCGACCTCTATGTAGAATATATCGTCCGCGAATCCACATCGTCTAATATAATTCAGCTGTATTCAAAAATTAAAAAGAAATGGTTTTAGATTATAATACGAATGTGAAAGAAATTTGTAAAGTTTCACAGGAAGTCTCCTCGAAACAGATGAACTTACAGAAATCTCGATAGAGTCCAAGTTATCCTGTGTCCCAATTTTCACTAAACTTATAGTTTGATCGGTGAGGCATAATCTATAAAGTCCATGAATGTTCTTCCGTGCTCCGAGACCTTTTCTTTGCATCGTAACTTGCCATATGTGTTCTGAAACAAATCATAAAGAAATGTAGTCATATGCTTGACTTTTATAATTGATACAAACAATTTCCAAACCCGACACTTTATCTGATGAACTGTGCTTAATTTTTCAACGAACAAATGTGCTGGACGTAGCATTGCACGGAGAAATCAAAGCAATATGTAAAAAGAAATTTATCAAATTATTTTATTATTGTCCATTGCAATTTTATTCATTGTATTATCATCATAATATCTTCGGTGCAAACAAACGTTCAATATTACTGCTACATGTGTGCTTTGCATTAAATGTGCTTGTGCATCAAATTTATTACAATAAATCATTTCCGCAAAAATATTTATAAAATAATTTGTAATCCATACATGAGAAGAAAATTGTATTAAGAATCAAGATAAATAACAAATGTGTTTCTCTACTAAAATAAATATTCCAGAAATAATGTACATTTTGAAATAAAGAGAGTCTGCATTTAATATGATCATTGTTTTTCTTATTCTTGCAGAGAACACAAAAGCACAAACAATTGCCAATGTTATTTTTATCCCAAGGCTGCATAATTCTTTTAAAATGTGGAAGTCATAAATAGACAACGGTAAGGAATTTCTTTGCTGCAATCATTATATTATTTGTGCAATTTTATGCAAATTTTGATTTTTTTAAGAACCTGTACAAGAGAATTGTCTCTACAGATTCGACAAAATATAGACAGATATAAATCTTTTCTTTAATTTTTTCCAAAGTACTTTTTTACAGTTATTTTCTCAAAGTAATTAACAGTAATTAAATAACGATTAAAAGAAAAACGTTTTTCTAAGTGTCAGTGAAAAAGGAGAAAAAGAAATCTAAAAAAATAAAATCTAAGAGAAAGCAATAAATTCCAAAGTCATTGATTCATTCGGACGTAAACAAACGCACACGTGCGATTGACGCGGCTGTGTCACAAGTCTCTACACCGATCGATATAGGTGCGCAATAATCTCGTCACCGCTAAAACTTGATTATCATCCACGGAAGACTATACATACGTTTATATATAAAAACATGCACATCTCATCCGTATAAATTGCCATCTGAAAATCATGTTCTTGCCAATGCTTTGGCAACGAGAAATAGACACGCCGATACTTTCTAAATCGAATTCCGAAAACCTATCCAGCCGATTTTCCACGAACAACAATCAACTGATATGCCGTTATCGATGAATAATGGCTCGAGTATCGGTGACAAGAGTATTGAAACGAGAGTAACCGATCGACGGTGCGGAAATCGCCTCAGCAGCTGATCGCCCCGCGTCGTTTAGACGAGAATTCGAAAAAGCGACGTCGCGTCGAACGGATTTACCGAATGTAGGCCGCGGTTGCTCCCCATCGGGCACGTCGCCGCTCTGCAGCCTCAGCATCGCCTTCAGCCACTCCTCCAGCTCCTTCTCGCTGTCGAGGATGAGGCAGAAGCACTCGTCCTTCGTGTAGAGCGCGATCACATGCTTGTGCTTCGTGTCGCCGCGCTTGTTGATGTTGAAGCAGCTGTGCAGCAGTATGCTGCGCTTCGGCGGCTGCCTGTTCTCGAACTTCTTCTTGCTGTCGTAGTACTCGAGGCAGGCGAGGCAGCCGGGCGCCTCGCCGCGCAGCACAAAGTACTTTTTCTTCATTGTCTTGAGCTTCTTCAGGTGGCCGCAGCGGACCACGGGTCCGCCCGAGGGCGACGCTGGGCCCCTGCCTGAGGACATCGTCAGGTTGGCGAAGAGCGTGGCTGCCGTCGATTGCGAACAAATCCCTCGTGCACGCGCGTACGACGACGTGGGCCCTTTGTATCATTCACATGGTATCCCGACTACGTGGGCCCTTTGTATCGTCCCTGTCGCTCGCTTCCCGCCTGTCTCTCTCTCTTTCTCTCTCTCTCTCTCTTTCTTTCTTTCTTTCTTTCT